CAGAAGGTTGTGTTGTACACTGCACGCGTAGATGATGAAATCATACCTCAAATAAGCTTAATGATAGCTTTCTCGTTAATTCAATAAGTCAAATGTTGCTACGATAATTATTAAATGTGCACTAACTAATATCACATACCACATGTAGACATTTGTACCATCCTAGTAGGCATTTGTACCATACATTTTAATAATAAAAACTTTGTACATCCTTGTTTTCTTATAATGGACTATTCTTATGGCTGGTTGCTTTGCATGATAGATAGAACAATTCTTAATACTCTCTTAATAAGATACAAATAATGCATTTAAGTAATTAATTAAGAAAACGAGACTTGAAAATAAGCATAAGTATTGAAGTTAACCCAACATTTGCCGCTAAAAGCAGGCCAGAACAAACCATTCGATACAAAAAGCTTCTAGAAAAAACAACACCATGCATGGCCCAATCTACTCCTCTTCTTCCGCTTCGAAACCCGAGCATTCAAAGGCACCCAGTCCAACATCTGCTAGTGCAAATTGGGTCAAAATTAGGCAAACAAAACTACAAGTGAGAAAGGGAAACTACTTGTGGTCAAATTAAGATAGTTAGACAATGACAAAATGTATTGATGCAACAAGTCCACTTGATTACCTGCCGTTGATGTGCTCCACTAGAGAGATGTGTGGTGAAATCCTCAAATGACCAAGGAGGGAGCATGATTTGCAAACCCATTCACCCGTTTCACTGCAGCTAACCTCCTCATGTGGTGGTGCTAAACAAACACACAAAATAAAAAGCAGCCAGCTCAGCAACAGATTTGCTGGTTATTTCAACAACACTGTGAGAGAGGACAAACACACACCTCCAAGAAGAAAGCTGTCCAGAGCATGAAAAAAAACAGTTGTAACCCATCCGTGATATATAGCCAGCAAGACCACCAGGGTCCGGTATGGATAGGACAATTATATTAGCTGGGGGTGAGTTCGTAGCGGTAAACTCAAAAACAAGACCCGCCATGTCTTTGGAACCTGTTTCAGAAACGATAGACTTGAGACACTCTATTCAATAATATCCATTACTGTAGAAAGTCACAAAAATGGGAAGATATTAACCGTGGGGGACGTGAGTAAGAACTATTCCAGTGGAGAAGAGGGCTCGCAGGACGTCATCAGGGACCTCTGTAAGCAGGCCAACGGCAGTGATGGTGATAGGGCCAGAGTAGCCTACATTCTTCAAAAACCGTTTAATATACGGACCGACCAGAAGAGCATCAACGCCATGGGGAACCGGACACTTATGGATGTCCCTAAACACCGACGTTACAGCTCATGGTCTATCTCAGGAGGCCCACTTGGACTTGCACCCAAGTAAGTGTCCCATAACTCGAACCCCGACTGCTTGTGGAAAAAAAAAAAAGACAGACATGGGGTCAAAACAAAACCACAAGTGATAAAAGGGAAACTTGTGGTAAGAGGTTTTCAAATGGGGTAAAAACAGAACTACAATTTAGAAATCTAAAGACATTACTCACCTCGATGAGAGAATCATCGTCCGGATGAGAATCAAGGGGATCCACGGGGAAAAACGGAACAACATAATCCTTAGGCAAATAGCGCAAGGTCTGGTTGAAAAACAAATGCAGAAAACTAGAAGTGAGAAAGGGAAACGTAATGATGACTGAAAAATAGTTATGACAATGACAAAATGTATAGATGGTACCAGCTCTTGATGCTCTTCACTAGGGAGATGCGTGATCAAATTTTCATAGCCTTGGCTCTGAGGATCACGTCCACATACAAGGCAATCCCAGTACGCAGATTCACCTGTTTCTGCCTCAGGTGCCATAGAATCTGTGGAAACAAAAGTAGATGTGTGAATGCAGCTGGTTACTGAGAGAGTACGTACATTGTGTCGG